ATGCAACAAAACCTCCACAGAACCCTCACATATACAGCAGTCACACAGTCCACACCCAACAGCGTACAAAAAGCAGCATACCATAGAAACGCTACGGAAACTACTACAGAACGCATAGTAGTACATACGCGAATCAACTACAGAACCACTATAGCATAGAACACAATAACATCTACAGAACCACAAGAGAACCCCATAGCATAGCATAAACCCCAAAACATAACAGAACCACTATAGAACCCACTTTCCTTACCAAAGAGCCTCCACAGAACCCCCACAGCATAGCACAGATAGCCTCCATAGAACCCCCAAAACATAGCGCAGAACCTTCACAGCATAACACAGAACCTCCATAGAACCCCCACAGCATAGCACAGAAACATCATAGCACAGAACTTCATAGAACCCCCACACATAGACAGAACCTTCCACAAGCATATCCACATCATAGCACAGAACTCCATACCCCCACAGCATAGACAGAGCATAGCACAGAACCTCCACAGCATAGCACTCCATAGAACCCCCACAGCATAGAGCAGAACCTCCACAGCATAGCACAGAACCTCCACAGCAAGAACACAGAACCCCCATAGCAGCATAGAAGAACCTCCACAGCATAGCACAGAATCTTCACAGCATAGAACAGAACTCCCATAGTATAGCACAGAACCCCCCACAACATAGTACAAAACCCCCACAGCATAGCACAAACCCTCCACAGCATAGCACAGAACCTCCACAGCATAGCACAGAACCTCCATCTCCACAGCATAGCAACAAACCCCCCAGCATAGCACAGAACCTCCACAGCACAGCACAGAACCTCCACAGCACAGCACAGAACCCACACAGCATAACACAGAACCCCCACAGCATAGCACAGAATCCCCACAGCAAACCACAGAACCCCCACAGCATAGCACAGAACACAGCATAGCACAGAACCTCCACAGCATAGCACAGAACCTCCATAGAACCCCCACACCATAGCACAGAACCTAGCACAGTACCTCCACAGAACTCCCACAGCATAGCACAGAACCTCCATAGAACCCCCACAGCATAGCACAGAACCTCCACAGAACCTCCATAGAACAGCATAGCACAGAACCCCACAGCATAGCACAGAACCTCCATAGAACCCCCACAGCATAGCACAGAACCTCCACAGAACTCCCACAGCATAGCACAGAACCTCCATAGAACCCCTACAGCATAGCACAGAAACCCATAGAACCCCACAGCATCCAGTACAGAACCTCCACAGCATAGCAGAACCTCCACAGCATAGCACAGAACATAGAACCCCCACAAGCATAGCACAGAACCCCAGAAAACCCCACAGCATAGCACAAACCTCCATAGAACCCCACAGCATAGCACAGAACCTCCACAGCATAGCATAGTACCTCCATAGAACCCCCACAGCATAGCACACAACCTCCACAGCATAGCACAGACAAAAACCCCCGCATAGCAAAACCTCCACAGCATAGCACCTCCATAAACCCCCACAGCATAACACAGAACCTCCACACATAGCACAGAACCTCCACAGCATAGCACAGAACCCCCACAGCATAGCACAGAACCCCACAGCAGAAACCTCCAGCATAGCACAGAACCCCCACAGCATAACACAGAACCTCCACAGCATAGCACAGAACCCCCACAGCATAACACAGAACCTCCACAGCATAGCACAGAACCTCCACAGCATAACCCCCCACAGCCATCCACAGCATAGCAGAACCCCCACAGCATAACCACAGAACCCACAGCATAACACAGAACCTCACAGCATATCACAGAACCCCCACAGCATAGCACAAAACCTCCACAGCATAGCACAGAACCCCACACAGCAACCCCCACAGCATAGCACAAACCTCACAGCATAGCACAGAACCCCCACAGCATAGCACAAAACATAGCACAAGAACCTCCACACAGAACCCCCATACATAACACAGACCTCCACAGATACACAGAACCTCCACAGCATCCACAGCATAGCACAGAACCCCACAGCATAACACAGAACCTCCACAGCATAGCACAGAACCCCCACAGCATAGCCACAGCATAGCACAGAACCTCCACAAACCCCCACAGTCACAGCATACACCCTCCACAGCAGCACCCCCCACAGCATAACACAGAACCTCCACAAGCATAGCACAGAACCTTCCACAGCATAGCACAGAACCTAACACAGAAACAGCATAGCACATACAGCAACCACCCCTCCACAGCATAGCACAGAATCCCCACAGCATAGCACAGAACCCCCACAGCATAGCATCCCCACAGCAGCATCACAGCATAGCACAGAACCCCACAGCATAGCAGAGAATCCCACAGCAGAATCCCACAGCATAGCAGAGAATCCCAGCATAGCACAGAAACCCCCACACAGCATAGCAGAGAACACAGCATAGCAACAGAACCCCCACAGCATAGCACAGAACCCACAGCATAGCAGCCCCCACAGCATAGCACAGAACCCCACACAGCACAGAACCCCCACAGCATAGCATAGCACAGAACCTCCATAGAACCCCCACAGCATAGCCACAGAAGCTCACAGAACCTCACAGCATAGCACAGAGCACAAGAATCCCCACAGCATAGCACAGAAGCCTCCACAGAACCTAGCCAGCCACAGCATAGCACAGAACCCATAGAAACCCCACAGCATAGCACAGAACCCTCCACAGAACCTCCACAGCATAGCACAGAACCTCCATAGAACCCCACAGCATAGCACAGAACCTCCATAGAACCCCCACAGCCAGCCCCACAGCATAGCACAGAACCCCACAGCATAGCACAGAACCCCACAGCATAGCCAGAACCTCCATAAAACCCCACAGCATAGCACAGAACCTCCGTAGAACCCCCACAGCATAGCACAGAACCTCCATAGAACCCCACAGCATAAGCACAGAAACCTCCAGCATAGCACAGAACCTCCATAGAACCCCCACAGCATAGCACAGAACCTCCATAGCACAGCACACAACCTCCATAGAACCCCCACAGCATAGCACAGAACCTCCATATAACCCCCACCAGCATAGTACACAAACCTCCATAGAACACCCCACACATAGCCACAGAACCCCCACAGCATAGCACAGAACCCCCACAGCATAGCACAGAACCTCCACAGCATAGCACAGAACCCCCACAGCATAACACAGAACCTCCATAGAACCCCAGCATAGAACAAACCCCACAGCACACAAACCCCACACCCCCACAGCATAGCACAGAACCCCCACAGCCTCAGACGAGAGACCCCCCCTTCCCACTCCCGACTCCGTGACCCCCCGCAGCGTCTGACGTAATCCCCGTGCTAATGGAGTTTCGGTCTCTCTGCGGCCAAATGTTTAGACTGTGGCTGTGTTTCTCTCTTTCTGCAGACCTGCTTTCGTGGGAGTGCTTGGTCTTGTGCTGTTTTTTGTCTGTCTGTCTGTCTGTTTCTTAGTTTTTATGTCTGTTTTATTTTTTATCTCTGTCTTTATGTTTCTCTAGTTTTTGGGCTTTCTTATTTTGTTTCATTCTCCTTTTTTCCTTTCTCTCTCTCCTCTCTCTCTCTCTCTCTCTCCTCCCCTCCTCTCTATCCCCATAAATCATCACAGTAAAAAAAAAAAATGTTTGTATGGTAGAAAAGATGAAAAATTACCTTAGTCTCGGATTCTCTCTCTCGCAAAATGACTCGCCGAAATCTCCTGAAGCGATTCAATTCTCTCTGCTTGGTTAGTGGCGTTGAGAGGTAGCGGTTCCACGGCGTTCGGCGATGGTGCTTCGGGTTCCATTTTTTTTTATCTTGCTCTGTCTGCCTAAAGTGCGCGCGCTTTTCCCACGCTCGAGTACACGTTCCCATACAAAGGTAAATACGTATAGGTAGATAAATACACGTACATGCACGGACGTACAGGCGCGGACATACACACACACACACAAGCTGTTATACGTATGATAAACAAATGCAGACGAATAAGCACATAAACATGTACATATAATTAGATAAACAGACAGATGAATGCACACACAAGCGCACACAAAAACAAATAACCCAATACCTGAGGGGCACCCAAACAGAGAGAATAGCGGAAAGAAATGGTAATAAAATTAAAAAAGAAAAGAAAAGAAAGAAAAAAGAGAAAAAAAAGGAAAAGAAAAAAAGAAAGAAAGAGAGAGAAGTATATATGATGCACTCGCGATATTTGATATTTAAATAGAGGTGTTTGACCTATTTAGGGTCATTTTGAGAGAGATAATCCGAGACTAAGGTAATTTTTTATCTTTTCTATCATACAAATTTTTTTTTACTCTGAAAATCTTTTATGGGATAGAGAAGGAGGAATGGAAGGAAGGGATGGGGTGAGAGAGAGAGAGAGAGAGAGAGAGAGAGAGAGAGAGAGAGAGAGAGAGAGAGAGAGAGAGAGAGAGAGAGAGAGGAGAGAGAGAGAGAGAGAGGGAGGGAGGGAGAGAGAGAGAGAGAGGCAAATTTCTCTTAATATCCTATTAAAAAGAAAACGGGAATGAAATAGGTACTACTTATCAAACTGACAGTAATGGTGTTTTAACGGCACCAAATTGCATAGTTAAAAAACATGACAAAATAAGGTTGCGTAATGATGATAATGATAATGACAGTCATTTTTAACAAACTTATAAATGAATGCAGATGTGATAGTAATGTCATACAGCGAAAAAATGAGAGTGACTTCTATAAAACAAGTCATAGTAATGAGAACAACAGCAGTAATGATGATGATAATGATGATGATGATGATGAAAATAATAATAATAATGGTGATGACAATGAACACAACTATTTGTGTTCATCATTCATGAAAGAATCCTCAATAACAAATGCATTTACTGATGTTATTTACCTAATAATCGGTCATTAATTGATCATAATCACATACACATATATCAGAATACACCCAAGGCCATAATTTTTTTTTCTTATTTTATTTCATTCTCTAAAATCATCTAAGACCTTGTATTATTTCAACTTGTTTCGAACATCAAAAAGAACACACAAAGGGTGTTTCGAAGCTTCTCGACTAACCAAACAAATGAAACGTTACAATGGTGAAATTCATAATAAAAATATATACAACGAAGATACAAATAGCAACATCAATAACTTAATTTATATGTGATTTTTCGAGTCAAGATATAGTTCGTCTTCGGGAAATAATATATAAAAAGGTCGTAATAATTTTTGGTGTTAATCATATATATATATATATATATATATATATATATATATATATATATATATATATATATATATATATATATATATATTGTTTCGGTTCTTGGTGGTATTGCTCTACTATTGCATTACTGTGCCTTGATGTTGATTAAATGGATAATCAAATCGTTATATATTTTTCCTAGATGTGCAAAACAAATACAAATTTCAAAAGTAGTAAATACTGTATTAAGATATCGATAAATTAACGAAAAAATGGTAGCAATAAATAAAACGGTAAATAAATAATTATGAGTAAGTAAATAAGTCATAGAAACATATGCAAAATGCACAAATTTCGAGATGATTTTAGCTAAGAAATACATCAGGAAACCATTTAATAACAGATAAAAGCGGATGATTTCAACGCATCGACAAGTAGTGATCTCAAAGTCCTATGTTTTTTTTCCGTCACCGCAACACCTTCCCTACAAACTGTCTTAAGTAATGAAGTAATGGTTTTATGACATACTTCCATTACCGACTATGTAGGCCAACTCATCAGTATGTCTTCGAGATGCACTTGGGCCTCATACCGCTATGACCAAAGTTATTTCCTTGAAAACTAACAAATTTAATCCATTAAACACCTGGCCATGTGGAAGAGAAAAAAAAAATAATCCATTTAATAAACCGTCCAGAACTCCCATAAAACATACGGCGGAGAAATTCCCTCCAGCATAATAACAACAGGTAATGGCATCATGTAAACTTTCCGTATCAACAGCGGAGGTCGAAGTGCCAGACGGACACCGAGGGAAACGAGAGAGAGAGAGAGAAAAAAAAGAGCCATGGGAACCTTTCACGACTCAATGCTCCGCTGGCTAATAGACCACTGGGCCCCCGAAGCCACAGCGGGAAACTCGAAGGCGCTCTCGGCCGAGGACCCTCTGTCTCCCTCCCGCAAAGACGCCAACAACACGTACGGACGCGTGCTCGCTACTGGCCGTGTGCGTGCAGAGTGGCGTCATCGTGTGTACGTGTACGTCTCTCGTCTCCGTCTGGACGCATTGGCTCATACAGTAACGTCAGGAGGAGAAACGAGACTGGGTTTAGACGTGGCGGTGACGGGGTGTTGCGTTGACGTGTTCGGTGCTGTGACTGCAAGCTAACACTACGACGCCGCCCCTGGGATTAGGCTGTGACAGTGACGTGCTTGGTGCTGAGGGAGGATAGTGACAGTGATTTCAGATAAAGGATTATTCTGACTGTGAGAGCGACGGTGATCCAGTGTCAATAGTGTGACTTTGGGTTTTGGAATTCTACAGTGAAGACTTGATCTGTGTCTTGAAGAAGTCCATGGTGAGTTACGTGTTATTAAGAAAACTGATTAATTGCTGAAGTAAAAGAAAAACGTATTATTCTCTAGAAAGTTTTAGCGCTTCACTCCCTGTCAAATCACGAGGCCTATGCTTTTATCTAATTAAATATTTTATAATTTCTCATTTTCTATTTGGGTTCATGGACCTTAACAGCCCAGTTAATAAGCAATCTAATCACTTACAATAATCTGAATCAAACTTGGAATTCAATTACTCTCTGAACTTCCAGATCAACAAAGTACAAAAAAAAAAAAAAAAATAAATAATAAAAAAAATAAAAGACGAATTAAACAAAACAAGATAAAACAGATAAAGTACTTCTCAGAAACCACATACTCACACACGCAAACACCCCTCCCACCCAAACCCATACCTCTCCCACACACACACACGACATACTCCCTATCAAACACACACATACCTCTTCCTACATGCAATCCTCACTCCCACACACACACATATGCCCTATCAAACACACACACACACATACTCCCTATCAAACACACACACATACCTCTCCCCGTACACACATACCAAACCTCTCCCCACACACACATATACCCCCTCCCCCTCCTTCTCCCTCCCACAACACCCACATACTCCCAATCAAAACACACACAACATACTTCCCCCTCCCCCCTCCCTCCCCCCTCCACACATAGACCTCTCCCCGTACACGCATACACACCCTCCCCCCACCTTCCCCCTCCTCCTCCCCCCTCCCCCCTCCCACACACACACACATCCAAGAACTTCGCACAATACCACGAACGAGACGACGTTCTCCCTACTCTCGAGAAACATCGCCAGGTGTTCTCTGAGAAAACGGAATCTGTGTCTCTCCGTCATCTTCGATAATGACGCAACACAGTTAGTTACGGTCATCGTGACGGGTCTTCAATGTGCGGGCGGCAGGCTTCTCTTGTCCGTAAGTGGGTGGGTGGGGAGGGGGAGGGAGGGGATGTGTTTGGGGATGGGGAGGGGAATTGTGTTTGTGTGTGTATAAGGGTTGTGTGGGTGTGTGTGTGTGAGGATGTGTATTGTATGTAAGGTGCGTTTGTGTGTGTGTGTGCATGTGTAAAGGTGCGTTTGTGTGTGTGTGAAGGATTGTGTAAGGTGCGTTTGTGTGTGTGTGGTTTTGTGTGCTTGTTTGTGTGGTGTGTGTGGGGAAGATTGTTGTTTGTGTGTGGTGTGTTTGTGTGTGTTGTGTGTGTGTGTGTGTTGTGTGTTGTGTGTGTGTGTGTGTGTGTGTGTGTGTGTTGTGCCGTTGTGTAAATTCATTAGCGGTCTCTGTCTATTTTCCATCCTTTTTTTCTATCCTTTCATCTCGCTCTATCTCGTTATCTTTCTTTCTCCTTCGTCTCTTTATTCTCTCTCCCTCCATCTATCGTTCTCCACCTCCCTCTCTCTCTCTCTTTCTTTCTCTAACTCTCTCCATCTATCTACCTCCCTCCTCTCTCTCTCTCTCTCTCTCTCACTCTCCGTCTTTCTCCATCCCTCCCTTTCTCTCATTCTCACTCTCTCTCCATAATCGTTCCACCCCCCTCTCTCTCTTTCTCTATCTTTCATTCTCTCCATTTATCCACCTCCCCCCCCTCTTTCTCTCTCTCACTCTCTCCCCATCT